AGGGGGTGTGAATTAAAACATTTATTCACATACGAATCGTAAAAGGAACGAAACCACAATAGCGATAGAGGTGTTCGTAAAATAGATCTCGTGATACTGTTATTACGTGAGAAATTAAATGTCAAATGTTCGGTATATACCTGAGCCGTATTATTCTTTTATTGATTCTTTGACACGAAAACAAAATGCAGGAATTTTAAAATCAGACGAATTTATTATTGTTCCAATTTCTAATTAAAAGATCATATTGGGTACAGCATTTATTACATATGAAGCCTAAAGCACATTATTAAATGACAAATTCGAAATGCATAAACTATTCATGCATATCCAGTATATCGAGACAGAAACACTTCCTGAACACATGAATACAGTTGTACGTATATAACATAAAAAAAATTTTTTTTTTGCTTTTCTGTACGAAGAAAAATCATTAAAATATATTCCATGATGTTACTTTTAATTTCAATGTTTAAAATATTATGTTTTGAAAAAAACGAAGAGTAAATGAACGAAATAATCGGATAATACTTTTATTTTCATAATTAGAAATTAGGTAAATGCAGGTCATGATATTTGCATGACTTATGGTACTGAACGATGCATTTGTATTCATAAATAAAAGATCGAAAAAAAAAAAAAATAACGGAGTTTATAAGTTATAGGTGTTTATTTAATGAAATACAGGGGTTCGATTTGATTTGGCTTTTATTTTGAGGATCGTGAAAATTATAAACATGTGTTCGATTATACCGTATCTCTGGCGGAGAAACGTTAGATAATCTCATAAACCCGTATGCACAGTATAAGTTGATAGTCAAACGACTAGATGACCTACTAATAATATAGATATTCCTTTTTTGAATTTGTAAAATATTATCATGAATTATGTACCCTGTAGAATCTGCGTGCATTATCACAAATAACTCAACATACATACTGTATGTATTTTTTGTAATTCGATCTTTTCGCTGAGTAGTGTTATTGGTATCGGACTTGTCGATTGATCCTGCAAAGTAATCAAATGCCAATAAGATTTCCGCTTGATTTTTATACATCGAATTTCGCGCGAAATAATTTTCCAATGACTTGTAATGTTAATGACGCTATAAACAGATTGGTGTTTACCATAATTATAAATAAATAAATAAACCCTGTCAATAGGTTATCTGATAAAATAATGAAAACATCAGCTATATTTTAACCTGTTGCCATACGTGGTATATTTAATTAATTATGAATCAATGCATAAAATTTAATATATTGAAATATAAATTGTTAAAAAATAAATAATTAATTAATTCTACAAAAATATTAAAATCATGGTGATTAAAAATTTATTTATTTATTTTTATTTATTTTCTATTTATTTTTATTTTTATTTTATTTTATATTTTATTTTTTATTTTATTTTTTTAAATCTGTAATTAGGCTGGTGTCATTTATTTATTAAATCTCAAGTATGAAAATACATGTAAAGTATAAATTTTCTCAACCCAACTCACCCGTCAACAGCCAAAGCCTCTAGATGGATTAAAAAAATTTATTATCATACATATTACTTTTAAAACTATATAATTTTTATTTTAATAATTTTAATATTTGATTAAATAAAAGGTTTAAATAATTATATATTTTTATTTGAAGTAGTACTTTAGGTCTTGTCATGTGATAAAACCGTTCCCTGTTTCCTTTAAAGATTAATAAACGCAGTAGCGATCTGATTTGGGATTACAATAATAATAATTATGATATCGTTCGAAACGACATAATTTATCTGCTAAATATTACCTAGTAGAAGATATCGCATACTCTACAAATCCACCATTCTAATTAGTCACGTATGATAGGTTTTTGTGAAACAATTAAAATACTTCCAGCGACAGGTCCATAAAATCTGTCGGAACACCCAGTCATGTCACACGCTGAAGTGATGTTGTTCAGGTAAAAGAATATACATCCGAATGTTACAACCAACGAATAGAAACATATAGCGATAGGGAATTAAAGTGATTTATTAAGCGCAGTCAATCAAAGTCGGATGTTGACAGATACGCAGTAACGCATGATCCAGTTTAAACCAAAGATAGACTCTTGGCATATATGCATTATACTGTACTTTGAATGTCTCAGAATGCGTTTGACAACTGTAAGTTTAATTATCTGCCAAGTCTACCCTTCCAGAATCATGAATATATTAAACAATTTAAGACACGACGAACGATAAAATTTCTTATTAAGATGAGAAACATCTAACTTAATGGTACAGGAATTCACGATAATGTTTGTAATTTGCAAAAATTATATTAAAAATGATTTAAAAAAAAAAAAAAATCAAGTTTTATTTATCCAAGCGTTTATTCGTATTCGTTAACCATTTGTCCAGAAACTATGATTGTCATACCGAATGTGATTTTTACTTTGATCCAATAACAAATTCGAAATATATCGTACTGCATATCAAGAAATAAGTTGATTTGAGTATTTTTTAAATAAGATTTGGTATAAGATACAGTAAATAGGAGTTTCTTGGCGATTGATTATTGACATTTTTTAAATCGCTTTCCATAAATATGCAGTATACTGTATATTCTTTTAAAAATACGTTATTTATTTATGTATTAAGACTGTATATAGTTTATTTAAATTAATTAAAACATTTTTTTTTTAAAGTCGAACGAGATCAAATAATTCACGTTATTTAAGAGAAATCTTGTGTAAAAAACGCTTTATACTGTATGTCAGGGGTTGAGATATCTAGTCTGCCGCTTTTCGACTAAATGCGTCGTGTAACAATCGCATTCTTCCGGTTATACCATGTCTTTACATCTTTCTTACATAAATGCAAAGGCACAAGCTATTGTGTCGTAATATTGGCTACGCATTGCGTTCATCATCTACCCCCTTAGGGATTGATTGCAAGTGGGAAGTGATGGCATCTTGGATTCTTTTCTTCTTTTTCGGATTTATGAAACGAAAAAATTTTTATTATCTTAAATTAGAAACTTGATGGATACATACTGTATACTGTATGATATGATATCGCTATCACATTCACAATTTACTTTTATAAATTACTACTTACAAATGATATAGTCTATATGGTATGATGTAATTAGATTTGTTTGTAAACTTTGATCACATATTATGTAAACACGTCAATCACTAACGTTCTGAAGTTTTCGTATCACCCAAAATGGTGGTGAATGCATATGACATGCATGCAATACGGAAACATTAAATTAATTTATGCAAAAGCCATAGATAATTCCCTGTATCAGCTATGGGTTCAGGCAGACTCGGTGTTCATATCCGACATTCTGATCGAAACCGCAGAACCCACCCGAAGCACATTGTTTAGCATGTATTCCAAAAGTTTTCGCGACGGCGGCACCCCGTAGATTATCACGTAACCATTCCTCAACATAAAATCCACGGCATTGGTTATGGGATTTACGGGTGCTGATGTTGAAATGATAAAGGTGGTGATGTAGAAGGCCACATAAAGTGCCGTTAGGGTACCCACTGAGATCATATACCAGGTTCCGACTGATGCGTTTTGAGAGTTGATGCTATATTTCGGAAATTCCGATGTGTTGGAGGTATCAAAGGAATCGGCATTGTCACTTTTATAGCCGTCACTTTTATAGCCATCCCTTTTAATTTCTATTTCCTCGTCGACGAATCTCGCCTTTAGCCCAACATGGTTGAAATGCACTGTCAGGATCGGTATAAAGGTGTAAAGGAAGCAGCATATTCCACACATTATCCAGAAGATGGCTTGTAATATTAAGACAAGCAAGCTCGGTTGACCATCTGACGATGCCAGCAAGAGACCGGCCGTTACCCAATGTACGATATTCAAGATTATTAACGAAAGAATGCTCGCTTTGCACAAGGGATCTTTCCAACTTGCGTCGCGATAAAATTTACGACCCGTGAACAAAAGGCATGTCCATATTATGGTTGCGTAAAGAGCAGAGATGGCCTCATATCCAACCCAAAAATAATTTTGCAGGAGGGTGGGATTCATAACCCGAAGTAGGTTCATTGAGCACAGGCCCAAGTTGGCTAAACTTGACAGAAGGCTATCGAAAAGAGACAATCGAGTTAGCAAAAGTTTCATGTTTACTTCCACCAATAAAAAAGTGCAATTGAATTACCATGAAGTTCGTAGGTATGTGAGCGACGTAATAGTGTAGTATAAGACCCAACAGCTACCCAAAAAGCTTATGGCCACGCTCAAAAACGTAAATGATAATTCCACAATCTCCATCAATTCGAATTGTTAAGGAAAGATTCCTTGTGAGATTTGTTTTAAAAAAAAAAGAAAAAAATCTTTGGATGGAAAGAGCTGACACTGGCAGAAAATGTTGAATCACGAAAAGAACAGGCTCATGTCGCGTTTATAATCAATGCAGTTCCTGTGTGATACTCGCAATTGGGTGCTTGTATTCGGTTCTTAAGCAATTTTGAAAGTCAAATTACCGGTGATACTTGTGATACGCATTATTTTTTTTCCCTAATGCATGGTTAGAACTGATAAGCCGCTTTGGGATATTTTAATAACCATTTTTTTTTTATCGAACGAATAGAAGCAGCTCTTCCGTCACGCCAAACCCTTATCAGCGAGGAGATATTTGTTTTTATTTTCCGGTCCCCAAATGTATGTTGGGTCAAATACAATTTCATTTAATGCTGCACATCGCATGGATTTTTTATGTTAATTTAATGTGAGATTGTCGGTACATTTGGTAAAATCTTTACTCAGCGAAAATGCGTTATCTTATCTTAAATGTTCCATTGTGCATCAGTGTCTCTAGCATTTGCAGCAGTGAAACCTCGGTGGTGTTTTTATGCCTCAAAATATTGCTGACAGAACCTACCAGGATGAACGCTGTTTAATTACATTAACCTTTCTACCTGTGCAAGGAATCGCACAGTTCCATTAACCAAGTAACTCATTACCACTCTCTTTTACCAAAGAACTCCTTCATACAATGACCAGATTAACAGCGAAACCACTTCCTATTGATCCCACAACACGGAAGGCTACGGCACTTAATTTGTTTAGTTTCGCTCGGCCTCACATGCGAGGACTTCACTGTTCATGGATTTCCTTCCTTACCGCATTCACTGGATGGTTTTCGGTGGCTCCCTTACTTCCCACCATTCGAAAAGATTTGGGACTAACTGACGAACAGATTGGCGATAGTAATATTGCTTCGGTGTCCTCCACGATTATTTTCCGTGTATTTTTCGGTCTTATGTGCGATAGACTGGGTCCTAAGCGTGTCATGTCCTCGGTACTTATTCTTGGTGCCATACCAGTTGCTCTTGCCGGTTTGGTGCAAAACGGTACTGGTTTGATCATCGTCCGATTCTTTATTGGACTTCTCGGTTCTTCCTTTGTGTCTTGTCAATTCTGGACCACCCAGATGTTCAATTCCAACGCCGTCGGAACTGCTAACGCTTTTGCCGCCGGGTGGGGTAACATGGGTGGCGGTCTCACCTACTTGCTCATGCCTTTGGTGTTTGATGGCTTTAACAAGCTTTTCCCCGACCATATCGCTTGGCGTGTCGCCATGGTTGTTCCTGCTTGCCTTTGTTTCTTCGTTGGCGTGTTGATCCTATATATATCTGACGACTGTCCAGAA